GATGGTGGGTTCCAGGTCATCTGTGTCCATCAAGCCACTGAACGCTGGGTGCCAGTGTTGATGTTGGACTGCCCTCTAGTGGCATCAGGAAAAAATGGGCTGGGCATGATGATGATGATGATGACGACGACGACGACACATTGTGGGAAGGCTCCCTGGAAAAGGCAGTAATACTGGGAGAAGTTGAAAGTGGTGGTGGGGGGGAGGAAGGTCTAACAGTCCAGGATTTCCTCTTGGGTACCAAATTCATCTCAAAAGGAAAGCAAAAGATTTTAGGATATGAAGCCTTCTCCTGAAACACCGTAGATCTACACAAGGAGTGGACGCTTTTAGGGGGTTTAGAAGACCTTTGTTTGCCCCGAGGCCCCTCCAGGAGCTTCAAGGACACCTCAGACAAAGCCCCAACTTCCTCTTCTGGGGTGGTGGTGAGAAAAGACACATTTTGCAGGGTGTTGAATGGTGCAGGATGGGGCGCTGGTCAATTTGAAGAGTGAAAGGCGGTGCCTGGAAGCTTGCAAGAGCAGAAGGTCATCTTTCAGTGGGGGGGGGGCCGAAAGAGGGAACTGGAGAGCGCTGGGGGTGTGAGACAAGAACAGCTATGGGAGCTGTAGGAGATCCTAGGACCGCACGTTGCTTTCCCGGACCCTAAACATTGGAACGGGGGAGCTGTGCCAGACTGATTCTGGAATTTGGGGTGCATCTACTTTAGTAGTACCCTTAACATCCTGAAACAACACCTCCCCTCAACTAATGACGTTGTTTGTAGATTCAGGAGAGGTCTCTCAGATGCTTCCCCTTCTCCTTGTGAAGAAGCCCAGCCATCTCCTTCCAAAGGTCAACCCTTAAATGCTGCTTGTTCATAATCGGCGTCAAATGTTGTCTTTGTAAAAGATACGGTGTGCGGAGATGTTAATGTTTGATCAGAGGTTCCTGCTTTTCACCTTGGCCTGCAGGAGCCAGCCACACCTGGGCAAACATCCGTCCCCCCCCAGGCCCCTTCTGCAGCTGTTCCCAAGGACAGGTTCCTCCAAGGTGCTGGGGGTGCAGCACCTGTGGGGCTTAGCTCTGGGCCAGCAGAACCTAGACAGGCGTCTCCCAATTGAATGCCAAGGAAGTCAACAGCAACGCCTCCCAGTCCTGCTCAGTCTTCTTCTTCCGAAAGCAAAAACGTTTTCTTCCTCTTGCAGGAAGCCTTCCAGTCTCGTCCTTCCACCCCCCCCTTTTTAAATAAGGTCTCAGGCCTGTTCCTGTTCCAGGTGCTTTAGGGACAAAAGAGTATGTTTGCCCCGGGTGCCAAAGTTGGTCCTGATTACAGCTCCGTGCCCTTTCTCTGGCTTAAAAGTGGGTTTAACTCTGGCTCTGAAAGGTAAGTGCAACCACTGGCTTCTCGCTGCTGGTGTTGGGGAGCATCACAGGGATGGCTTCATTTAATGATAATCATCTTAGAACTGCAGACCTCGAAGGGACCCTATGGGTCATCAAGTCCAGCTCCTGCCAAGAAGGCACAAAAGAGGAATTGAACCCCCAACCTTGAGCTCCGCAGACAGAGACCTAAGCCTCTGAGCTATCCAGCAGTGAATTAAGTGTTATTATTCATTACTCCAATCAATAATATGTACCATCAAGTTTCACTTAGGTCAACCCTTTCTAGGAGCGGAACAGATGGAAGTGGTCTCCCATTGCCTTCTTCTGGGGGGGGGGAGCCCTGGGACTGTGCAGGTTGCCCATGGCCACCCAGGCTGGCCCTTCTCCCAGGAGGCACAGCAGTGGGGAATCAAACTCCCAACTTCTGGCTCTCCAAACAGAGACCTATCTCACTGAACTGTCTAGCCGGCTAAGAGTGGTCTACATTTGCTTTTAAAATAGTTCTCCAATCTATACCCCACCTTTGTGGCCTTGGGAAGCGGCACAATTCCCAGGCTATTCCCATGTTGTGGCCACTGCTTCTGACTACAATGTACTGTTATGCAGAACGGCAAACCATTGTAGAGAACTCTGTCTCTAGAAGGGGTCACCAGAACCGGGAATCAGCTGGACAGCAGCTCACACTCTTCCCATGAGCAGTACACAGGACTCGACTCCTTCCCGCTTTATCCGCACCTCCTCCTCTGTGATGGAGGCCGAGTGTGTGTGCGTGTGTGTGTGAGAGAGAGAGACCCATGTTTACCCACTGAGCTTTACGCCCAAGCAGTAATTTGAACCCAGGTCTCCCCAAAGCACTCTGTGGTTGTTGTTTACAAGCTGCAGCCCGTATCGAAGTGTGAAAGAGGCAGGACACCAAGCATCAAGCACATCTTTCTTAAATCCACAACCATTTTTATTAAAGTGTAAATCCAGGCAAAGTCAAAGGACCCTGTGCATCAGCCATATGGAGTGGCCAAGGCAGAGCCTGGGCCGTGAAGGAGGGGGCCGGGGTCTCCAGCACCTCCCGAGCAGAGAACTCACGTGTGTGACTCATGGGGCTTGGGTTGAACGGTTCTGCTGGGCCTTGAAACCGTGCCGATTTCAGGGGGAGCAGAGCTCTTTGAGAAATGCGGGGCTGCCTCCAGGTTGAGGGACCTTGATTTCTCCCTGCCTCAATCCAGGGCTGAATTCGGAAGACAGCAAGGAGGGGCAGCTGTGTGTGTGTGTGTGTGGGGGGGAAACACAGGCACATGGGATCATGGCAAAATGAAGTGGTTGGCAAGCTGACCCCTTTGGGTTTAGGTCTGGCCGAGTAGCAGGCTGCTACCCATGAAACCGAGGCAGTCTCCACGAGCCACTTGCCTGGATGGGGGCGAGGAAGGGAGGGGGCTCAGAGACACCAGCGACCCAGTGTGCTGGGCACATTTCTCAGGCAGAGCTAGATCAGCCCCATGTCCTCCTGCAGGGAGGAAAGCCCCACTTCTGAACGAGGGTCATCCACAGAAAAGGCATGGCCACTAAGAAGCATTTGTTTCTAATTTTGCATCTGGATGTGCCGCTTCCCAGTTCTATGCCAATCAGGGCTCTCTCTTGATCTCCTCTCTGCTAAGGGGTAAGGGACCCTCCAAGCAGCCCCCCCCCGCCCATCGTCCACAGGGAAGAGGAAGACACCGGCAGTGCGGTACCTGCTTTGCTGACAGGGGCCAGCAGCCCACTTGCTGGGTCTGTGGGTCAATGGGAGCAGAGCATGCTGGGAGAACCAGCCCCTCCATGAGCAGTTGAGGGGGTGGGTGGGAACAGCTGGGGTGCTGAAGGGAGGCCCATCCGACCCTCTTTGCCAGGGGCCGCCTCTGTCCTGCCTGCTCAGAGAGGAAGGCCAGAGGTGGGCGACATGCAAGTGAACCGTTTGCAGGAGGGGAAGGGGCCAGGTGTGGGGGCGTCAGTCGGCTTGGGCCCTGTTTCTGAACACGGAGGGTTATTGGCGGGGGGGGGATGTCTGGGAAAGCAAGTG